CTCGTGGGGGTTGAGGTGGCACTTCGGCAAGATTGCCTAGACGTCGTGGACGCTTATGATCAGAACGATCATGACTCTTCGCGTCGTCATGCGCACTGCACCTGTCGGCAGTAGCCCGGGAAGCTGGAGGGGCATGAGCTGAGCTCAAGCTATGGCCCTGAGCTGCTATGGTCGTAGACTCACCTCACCCGTGTGAGAAACCACAGAGCTTGCGGGGGCGTTATGGATTGTTTCTTTTATCACAGGGCGACAATACGCACAAAGTCGGTGTTGCGCCTTGAGTTTGGCAAACTCAATTCTACGTTTGCGCTCAACGCGCGCGTCCACTTCCTTTTGACTTCGCTATAGGGTTGGCAGCGAGGAACGTTTCCGGAGCTGCTGCCCCCATCGCTTAGAGAGCTCATCGTCATCCGCAGCGGTTTCGCCAGGGGCGAGCACCAGGGGGATGGTCCGCATTGCGATAACAGATGCAACTTTTTCTAGCCCGAAGTTGATTCGCGGCACCGATCCATCGAGATCCCTTGGGGGACCAAAAAGCGAGCTTACAGAGTTATCCGCTAATCAAGCTCACCTTGTGCAGTGGCCGGAGGCCCGACTACGTTGACACCTTCCGATCGAGTGATCGCGTCTTTTGCTTCAGTAGCGAGATCCGCCGAGCGGAAGCCGAATTCCACACGAGGGTCGAAGGTCGAACGTGGATACGAGCGCATGATAGCCGCCCTGTGAGTATCCTGCAATTGCTGCTTCTGTGTCAGTCGAGGCGATTGATAAAAAGACCACTTCCCTCAGAAGCCGAGAGATCGGGGAACGGACATGGTGCCCGCAAGGTTCGAGCTGGGCTCACGTCGCGCCATTTACGCACTTCATCCTCCTCGTCATCCCATGCTGGTAAAGAAGTGTCCGACTCAAAGTCGACTTCCTCCAACGTCTCGACGGAATAATCCGTCGCTCAGGGCGGGCGCGGTGTGGTACGCTCGATTACCGAGAGCTTAAGATGTGCTTCCCGTGAAGCCGCGGATGCAAGGTCTGAAGATGCACCCTGTGCAGAAGAAAAAGAAGACTTTGCTCGCAGGCAGCCTCGGATCAAGTGAGGCTGGGTGTTTTGCGTGTCGTAGACACAGATTTCACAGAGCGGACAATGTTCAAAGCTGTTCTTAAAGAACGTGAAGGTGTCTAAGACACGCGAGCCTCGTATGAGGCGACTATTAAATATGAATTTTATAAATTCACAATTTTATGATCGGGCGGGTCGCACAAAATGGTGTGACCGTACATAGTTGTGGCTTACGCAAGTTGGTGTAATCACACACTGGTGTGGCTACACCGTAACAAATTAGTGATGTAACATTCCGGTCTTTAACTAAAACACATCTGAAAACAAAACTGTTCCGCATGACCTCCCTCGAGTCAAATCTGTCGCCTGCGGCATTGGAAATCCTTCCGAATATATTGGTATGTAGACAATTTCCTTCTCGTCATGATAACATACAATGCGAAGTTCTCTTGTTCAAGGTGTAAATTGTTTCTCTATTCTTAACCAAATGCTTACTCCTGCAGGCGGCGATTGGCCAGACGCCTATGGTGCGGGTCAATAATATCGGCAAGAAGTCGCATTTGCAATGCGAATTACTGGCTAAATGTGAGTTTTTTAACGCTGGTGGGTCGATCAAGGATCGTATCGGGAAGCGCATGGTAGAAGACGCCGAAGCTGCGGGTCTTATTAAACCTGGAGATACGCTCATCGAGCCCACTTCAGGCAACACTGGTGTGTATTACACTCAACTATATGTAGAATAAATTACGCTGACACGCTAATTGCAGGCATTGGATTGGCACTCGCTGCAGCTATCAAGGGCTACCGTTGCATCATCACACTCCCAGGTGAGTCTATTATGATTATGTTTGACTGAAATTTTAACTTTTGTTGGCAATTATTTACAGAAAAGATGAGTCTTGAAAAAGTGAATATATTAAAAGCTTTGGGCGCTGAGATTATTCGTACGCCGACGGAGGCTGCATGGGACTCACCTGAGAGTCACATTGGTATTGCCAAGCGTCTACAGGCCGAGCTTCCAAATTCACATATTTTGGATCAGTATACTAACCTTTCAAATCCACTTGCGCATTATGATGGTACGGCCGAAGAAATTTTGGATCAATGCGACGGCAAAGTTGATATGGTCGTGATGGGTGTTGGCACGGGTGGCACAATTTCCGGGGTTGCTAAGAAGCTTAAAGAAAAATGCCCTGATGTGATCATTGTCGGTGTTGATCCAGAAGGATCGATTCTTGCTCAGCCTGATTCATTAAATGACACGAATCGTCTTAAACCATACAAGGTGGAAGGGATTGGGTACGATTTTATTCCGGACGTGCTCGACCGCAGCTTGATTGACAAATGGGAGAAGACAAATGACCAGGAGTCATTTATTATGTCGCGTCGACTGATTCGTGAGGAAGGTTTGCTCTGCGGAGGTTCCAGTGGATCTGCTATGGCAGCTGCAGTTCGCGCTGCTTCAAATCTTAAGCCTGGACAGCGTTGTGTTGTCATTTTATCTGATTCGACACGCAATTATATGTCGAAATTCTTGAATGATGCGTGGATGTACGAGAACAATTTTGTGGAAAATACAGTGCACACACACGAAAATTATTCCAAGTATCGCAAAGAGACAAGTACGTGGTGGTCAGAGCAGCTTGTGTCTGCCCTGGACCTGCCGACCCCTTTAACGGTATCACCACACCTTTCATGTGCTGCTGCTATTGAGACAATGGAGAGTCACGGCTATGATCAACTGCCTGTTGTAAAGGAGAACGGCACTGTACTTGGCGTGGTAACCATCGGTAATTTATTGTCAAGACTGTCTTCTGGTCGTGTTTTGCGTACGGATCCCGTTGCAGCAGTTACTTTTGGGAATTTTAGCAGCTTGACGCATGAGAGCTCATTAGCTGAGCTTGCCAATATCTTTGACAAGGATTACTTTGCAGTCGTCACTGCTGCAGATGGAAAAATTAGTGGTTTGGCTACGCGAATTGACCTACTAAATTACATTACTAGTGCCCATCGAGACTGATGTTAATATTATTTCAATTTTAATATTACTGTCAAGATCACTAAAAAAGATAAATTACACTGCGAGATTGTAATGTTCGACGAAATGAAAACTGATTGTGTGTAATGTTCATGGGTGACTCGCGTCATTCACAATGTCTATCAACATGTCCATCAATGGTACGCTATCAAATGTCCGAGAAATAGAAGAATAATTACTGGGTTGTTGACTACAAATCATCAGAACAGTTCGAATAACACAAGACGATTTCAATAGGAACATATAATAATATTTGTGTTGTATTGAATATTTTAAGATCTCCAAAGATTTGAGGTCTGTTTAACAAAAGCAACATCATCATACTCCAAAGTAAATGTCATATTAAATCGTTCGAGATTGTTACTATTCTACAAATGATCTTCCCTGAATAGATTGCATAATACTTACCTGAATTAGCTATTCAGCTGTTTAGTCTGTATATTCGTCATCATGTGGCTGACATTGAGCTTTGAGCCGTTGACTCTGTAGCTCATGAATTTGGTCCCTTGCAATCACCAAAGCATCGCTTTGAATAACCTCCCAAGTGCAAATGGTACAAAATGTGCGCTTCTTGTCAAGCACAGTACGGCGGTCAGGTGCTAACACACACACGAGCTTCTTGACGCTGCAGTTAGAACACACACAGCGTTGGCAATTCTTACACATCCGTCGCAGTGAAAAGCCATAGCTACGGTTGCATATACCACAACCATGACTACTTTTCTTTGCACTAGCGCTTAAATTCGTCACTTCTTTCAATGGCTCAATAGTCATCGGTCCATTGACTGGAAGACCCGAATTTTTGCGCATACGCCACACTAGTTTCTTCATTTCAGCGCAATCTATAAATCTAGCAAAACTTAGCCACTGTGTAGCCACTGCGTTGATCGACAGATTAGTTAGCAGCTCGCTACTGTCACTTCCAAAGTCATAAAAACCTCTCGCATAACACTCAACTGTGTCGTCTGTTTTTTGACGAAATAGACAGCACATCGACATGTTCGCACGCTCAATGCCAAATTTGTCCAATGTCGGTACTTGTGCGAATGCAATTGAGTGCGAAATACTGAAACCAAATTGCTCTCCATTGCTATTTGTAGTAATACCCGTAGCATCTAGACATACATAGTCCCTTCCGTCATGCAATCTCCATTTGACGCCAACGTGACGGAACGGTGCATCGTTTGTCGGATGTACGATTGAATGCAAGACTTTGCAGTCGACCACACCATCCTCCATACACTTTGATGTCAATTTCATTTGCTCATCTGTAGCTACTGAAGCCACAAACATGACATCCTCTAGTTTCCCCACAACTGTACCCAACAATAACAGTGATGGGATACATAATTTCGACGATGTGGATGTAACTACACGCTCTTTATACACACGAATATCATCTTTTTGACGCAATTTCTTCCATTGTCGTGCATCTGGGTGGCCATCAACAGAGACTTGAAGCGCTCTATAGCTCGCAATGTTGTGTGTCACTAACGTATCGGCCAATTCCCGCAGTGCCTTTAAATCCAAAGTACTTAGATCAAGAAGTTGCGGTATGGAATCAGGTGGCAACGTTTGTAGCTTCATTGCTATTGAATTTCAAAGAGTAGAGACGTTTGTGATTCTTATCGACAAATGACCACCAGCAACGACTTCATCGATGACTTCGTCTACTTGAAGTATTCATTACAGTAGAAGTGTACCGTAATAATCTTAGGCTTATCTTTCAAAACGTTCGAAATTAGAAAGGTACAACACGTGCCTTAGCGTATGCGATAGTGGAGAGAAGTTATCGAAAAACATTGATACTTACGTTCCTATCATAAATCTCACGCCATCCTTTTTTATCTCATTCGTACCATGTTGATGGTGTGATGTATGGAATAATACTATTCTTCTAATTGAGATATATCACAAGCAAGATAAGGTATAATATAGATATTTGTTAATTTTGGATTTAGTTTCAGTAAAATCATTCATTAAATATTAGATAAACGTATAACATCATGATGCTCTATAGGAAAATTAACAATCATAATTCTACGTTTATTCTGGTATGCAGCGATAGCGACAGGATACATGGAACTTGATTACCAAATTTCGAGCTTTAGTATTTATTTCTTAAAGATAAACTTCGAAGTGATGGATCTTAATAGTGCACATCCTTGTCGACATTGTGTGCGCTTCTTATTAAGAAAACAAGTTTGGATCTATTGTCACAATGCACTCAGAAGTTTTGACATCACATCGAGCATATGTTGTGAGAGCAACTCCTACACGTCTTCTTGCTTCGTGTTAAAAAGCTAAGTAAACTTTCAGCGCACATTAGACACTTTTGTTTTGATCGTGCTTGAGTGAAGTGTACAATGCCCGAATCATCTTTGTACTTTCGTAAATGCCTTGCGAACTTCTTCATGTGCATACATTCCATGCGGCATGAAAGCGATAAACTACGCGAGGTCATGTTCTGTAGTGCTAGCATGGCGTGATTGTGTGTGTCTGTCGATCGATCATAGAAACCGCGCGTATAACACTCGACAATATTCTGAGCCTTTTGGCTGTAGATAGAGCACACTGACATGTTACCTCGTGAAATGCCTCGGGTAGTAAACTCTGGTAATTGCGAAAACCCAACCGAGTGCGAGATATTGTAGCCAATACGTTCGCCCCATGGGGTCTTCATCATGCCCGTTGTATCAAGTGTCACGTAGTCGCGGTCGTTAAATAAACGCCATTGTAAACTCACGTGGTGGTACGGGTCTTCCGTTGTAGGGCTGACAAGTTCCTCAAGTACTTGACTATCAACTAAACCAACGTGAATGCAGGAAGATCTGAAATTTGAAGACTTGTTAAGTGATGCGAGTGTGTCATTCATAACATCTTCTAGTCTGCCAGTTACGGAACCTAATGATAACAATGACGAAATTGGTGATGGAAAGTGTTTAGAACATCGGCGTTCTTGATATATCCGAATCCTCTTAGTCTTGCGAATACGAATCCATTGTCGACTGTCAGGTCGACCATCTTTCGTGACGCCAAATTTCGTAAACTCGTCAAAATTGTGCTTAACGAGCATCGTCGCGAGCTCTTGTAGTAGCGTCCGGTCAGATTTCGGTATTAAAAGAGTTGGTAAGAATTGTGAGATAGCTACAGGCTTTGGCATTATCTTGACAAGAAGGTAGCAACTGTGACAATAAAGCTTTAAGATTTGCCGACTTGACCATGCCTAAGGTGGAATTTCTTGCGCAAGTGAGAGATCTAGATCAGTCGAGTCTAACGAAAGGACGGCAACTGAAATTAAATGTGCATCAGGACACAGACTGCTTTCGGTGGATTCTAAGTAGTATACTCGACCGTCTATCTACATTTTACAGGAATCGAATGATAAATACTCTACCACTTTAGTTCGACAAGACAATTGAGCTGATTTTTTCGATAAGTCCGTTAAAAAGACGCTGCAAGTATGCTGGACATCTAGAGTCTAGTCTGACGAAGATGATTTTGCTAGAAACTTACTTCATTATCGTTTAAGCTTACTGATCAGTCAGTCATATTTATAAGTTAAAGCTTAGCATTGACAATAACAAATATTAAGTAACTCGCCAGAGAGTCAAAGTTCTTAACTAGCACCGTAAACAAACTGTGAATTAGCTTGTACGCACAAGCGCAGCGTCAGTCATTCCCTTCCAATCAGTCTTGCAAATCTTGATAAATGATACAACACAGCCAAAGAAGATGCCAATAGTTAAACCAGACCACATTCCTGTAACCCCCATATCCATCGAAAAGGCTAGATACGTGCCAATAGGCAAACCAAGCACAAAGTACGAGACGAAATTAATGTATGCGCCTAATGTCAATCGTCCTGTTCCACGAAGAACGCCTTGCATAATAGCATTAAGTGCATCACACATTTGATATGGCATGAGAAATAATATTGCATGACCCGCTAAATGAATAGACACTGGATCATTGATGAAGATATGTGGAATATAATACCTTGTGGCAATAATAACGACAGCGAGAAGTCCTGACAAGGATAATGCCAATATCATACCTAACGTTGAAATCATCTTCGCATGGTGAGGTCTATTACGCCCCAAATACGTACCTACAAGCACATTAGCAGCCACGGAGATCCCCATGAAAATGTTAAAAGCAAATGTTGATACATTCACCAAAACGGAATGCACGCTGATTGCAATGACACTGTTAGGAAGCCAGCCAACGATTGCTGCCATAATCTCGAACGATACCCACTCAAGTAACAACATGGCAGCTCCTGGTATCCCAAGTTTCAAAAATATGCTTAAGCTTTCAACTGCCTCTTTCGCATGCCACCCAGACCACCACTCAGCAGGAATATCAGGGTACCGCATAAAATATGGAACGAGACACAATGGGAGTACAATTTCTGATACTAAACGTGCGATAGCTGTGCCGTCGAAGCCCAATGAGGTATAAAAGGTCAAATAAACTCCCAGAACAAGATTCACCACATTGCTGATCCCAGCAATATACACCATTGGTAACACAACGTTCTGAGCTTGCATCACTTTTTTCAACATCTCGTAGATGTAAATGGCTGGAATACCAGGGAGTAAAATTTGGCTAAAGCGGCCAGCAAAGGCTGCCACTTTTGGAGGTTGGCCCATTAAGAGAAGTAAAGCTTCTGTATACCAATTAATGAAGAACACGGGAATCAATGTAATTCCCAATATAATCATTCCACTTTGAAGATAAATGCCCAGTTTTTTTGGTTTACCAGCACCATATGCTTGAGAACACAAGGTATCCATTGCAGTAGCCAAACCAAATCCAATGCCAATTGCAGTCAAATTTAAAAACATCGTTGAGAGAGCAACGCCATCCAAATACTGCTTTGTTAATGGCGATTCTAAATGACCAACCAATGTCATACTGACCAATGCTGGAAAAAATTCCAGTACATACGTGAGAATAACCGGATTTGCCAATTTAATTAGCGTATGAACCTCAGTCTTGATATCAGGAAGTAGCTCTGTCTTCTCACCCGACTCATTATTGTTCTCCAGATCATGACTATAAGACCGAAGTAAAGAGACTTTCTCCGTTACTTTGTGGCGCTTTTTGTAAGACGTCTGAGATCTTAATACTTGCGGTAGGAACCGACCTGCATCCAACTCTGACGAGTGCTTAGAATTTAAAATCGGCTTCGTAGGACTATTGGAACTATCCGATGAATTGTACGAGCTGTTAGAGGTCTCTGATTCATCACCAGACTCTTCCTGTCCGTCTGGAATGTATCGCTTCGAATGCAAGTAACGATGTGAACCACTCGACTTCGTGTTAGTGCGAGGACTCGATTGTTGACACGTTTCCGATTTCAACCGTTCGATATTAATTTTCCACGTAGCTCGACTTGCATCATTCCTTACATGTGTGAATCTAGCTGACTGAAGTGTTCCATATCCTGCATACTGTCGCGTCATATTATCCAATTTGCTTTTCCTACCACTTTTGCCGTCACCAAATTTCTTCCAAGAAATTTTAGTCACGTCTTGACAAGAATTGTAGTCTGTCGTGCAACCTTGTTTTCGTATCAAACCAGAATTATCACTACTATTACCACTAGAGCTATCACCACCACTTTCCGCAGTACCAGAACCATCGTCCTCGCCAATACTTGTCATCATAATCAACGTCTTCACAATCTTGTACTAATTTAAATTTTAAAAGCTTTCAAGTCTGATAAAGAGCAAAAGCGGATAAAACTTTGCTTGACGTGTCGTATAGATAAATGCTTCGATAAGCTAATGAGAATGCAATAATGGAGTCAGATATTCCCGAATTTCGAAAGAAAATTACATGTAATAATAGAAAGTGAAAGACCATGTTCAAAACTGTCCATTCAGTAGTAATAACACGATCTAACACATAATGAAACGAGATTTATAGTACGTACACAACGTCGAGGGTAGTCCAAGTGATGCAATCAGCAAATTTCGCCATGCAGTGGGGTTGACTCAATTACCCAGTTGGGAGATTTCAAACTTACTTTGTGTTAGAAAACTAAAGCAAGCAAGCAAATGGGAACCTCTGGGTTGCAAAATGAGCAAATAGTTGGGAGAGACTTTTCAGGTGACTTGCGTGCGAGGGGTTGCGGTAATTATCTGTAAACTGGATTTAAAAAAACGGTGCAGAATTGAGACACGACTACCACACAGATTTTACTTCATTTTACATATAGTGAAATTAGTATTTTCGAAAAGTGAAACTCGTAAGGTTTGTTTAACATGTTGACTTACTTGCTAATTGCGTAACGAGATTGAAACATATTGTCCTCACAGATAAAGAGCTTGAACGGTTGATTGAGAATGTTAGATTATCATCATGTTTTGAGCCTCTTGCATGCATTTTGTATATGGTTTAAAGGGTTTCAAACCTACTACAATAAACGCATCGGATGGTGAGGAACCGAATTTACCCACCATCTCAAAAGCTGGACAAGTGAAAAATATCTCCACTGGCGCGACCTGATTGTGATGAGCGTTTGTCGGTAAATTGCTCTGTAGGAGTGGAGAAATACTTTCATCGCTATGTGCACGCTGTTTTGGGAGTAAGGAAAGGGATTCAGTGTTATAAGCCAACGCAAATGTTGCTAGAACACAATAAAGAAACTGGCGCATCAATCACCCTGGTGCACCAGTCCATTTGACCCTAAAATTTATGCTTGCAACGCTTCTTACTTGTAATCCTCAACTTGGCTTGAGTCGGCGTTCAGTTCCCCAGGTTTGCGCCGCTCAAATAGAGCTCAACACTCCGTCTTATTTGCCAAATTCGGGCCAGTCCTCGGGACCTCGACCTTCTAAATATTGCTGACTTGTGGTTTTTGACTAACGGGGTTACACGTATCCTTGTATGAAGGGTGGGTCACACAAGATGGTGTGACTGCACAGAGGTGGGAATTGCACACGTTGGTGTAATCACCCAAAGGTGTGGCTACACCGAGACAAGAAGCCACTACGTAGCGGGACTGCCAGTAGTAATGCATGATAATTAGGTTAAACTATTTAATTAGAAAATCCTAAGGTATTAGATATAGGCGGCTTTGCCGCAACCAAAACAATTAAATACAGCTTCAATCTTAAACGAAATAGCGTACTTGCCTAAGTTAAGGTCTTTGATACTCTGGAGGTAGCGGGTTGCGACCGCTACATTCGTACAGGTCCTTGTACAGAGCGTAAGATCAGTGAGCTTAGCTTAGCGTTCTTTAAGCAAAGAGCTACGGAAGCCCCGCTGCACTTGGTAGCACTCGTAGTCAATCTTCGCCTGAGTCGTTACGACTGATCCTCTGTGAGGATGGAGCAGTTCCCCTAGCATGCAGTACGAGCTTAAATGGGTGATGTCCTTGCTTGACCCTGAGGGCGTGGAACATCTTGTTTCGCAAGGACCTGAGGCGGTAAACGCTCGCCAAGAGGCGTTTTCGAACTATGAAAATGCACTGTTAGAGCACCTAGAGGCTAAGATGTCGGTATCGACTGCGTCTATGACGCCACCCTCGACGACGGATGAGTCTTCATTAATTAGGCCGCTCATGTTGAGCACTAAGGCCTTCGGGGGTAAGGATAGAGAGAGCCTCCTGCTCTGGGAAAGAGAGGTCGAGATGGCTATGGCATCCGCCATACCCTAGAACGAGCAACAGCGCGTGGCGCCAGCTATCTCCAAGCTCGAGGGCCGAGCGCGAGAATGGCACTAACGTGTGGTGCTTTGGTTAAATCGGCGTTTCTCTCCTGGATGGAGCTAAAGCTGCAGCTTTTACGAGTGTTCTCTTCGTTTAACCAGGCATATCGCATGCGATCGCGTTTCCTAGCCGCCCGAAAGAGCAAGAAGAAAAACTCTCATTGCCAAAAAGGCAGTCGATCCTCTCCTCCAGGCGTTCGCAGTGGAGGGTCTCTGTAGCGGGGCTGTCGTAGCTGTGCGCTTAGAAGTAGCGTAATTTAGGTCACCGAGGAGCGGACGCTCTTGATGATTTGGAGCGCGTCGTGCGTCGGCTGCCTCGCCTTGAGGACTACCGCGCTCTAACGCTTCCGCGTTGACATGCGCCGGATCCCGATACGGCTTGAGCAAACCCACGTAAA